TGTATCTGTTGCAGCTATTAAAAGTTAGTTAGTTAGTTTATTTGTTCGCCCCCCCCCAGTGGCACAGCGGTATGTCTGCGGACTTACAATGCTACAAATCGGGTTTCGATACCCGTGGTGTGCAGAGTACTGATAGCCTATTTTGTAGCTTTGTGCTTAACTTCAAAACAAACAAATAAAGTTTATTTGTTTTTGAAACTTCACCCAAAACTACTCGAGGGTTATCTGCGCTAGACGTCCCTAATTTAGAAGTGATAGACTAGAGAGGGAACACAGCTAGTCAACACCACCCACCGCCAACACATGGTCTACTCTTTTATCAACAAATAGTGGGATTGACTTTCACACTATACGTCGCCACAGCTGAAAGGATGTGTATGTTCGGCGACAGGATTTTAAATTGCAACCTACAGGTTACGAGTCGAGTGCCTTAACCATTAGTCCATGTCATGCCACTGCTAAAACAATTAATTATCTTAGTAAATTGTTATTTCATGATTACGGAGTTTATCGAAGTTAGATTATCACTTTTCTAGACACATACAATATAATATACGATCGTATTACATCATAGCTGCACGAAGAGTTCAAAATTTAGATGAACATACTATATTAATTCTTTTTGGTACTTAGCCTCCCCATTAAATAATGAAGATGGTGCGAACTTGGAGCGTAATTTGTAACGGTTATATTTGTACATTTTCAAATATGATTTGTTCTTCGAAAACAAGGACTCTTTGAACTTACTTACCACCGCCAAAGACTTGACTTTGGGGGATAAACCTGTAAGTTGTCCAGTTGTTTTATTTTGAAAAGTTTCTTTTATTATCCTTCTCTCATCCAATTAATAATTATTGTTATTTTATTTTTCTCTTTTACTTGGGTTGTCCATCACCCAACTAGATCATCTTTCGTATACACCTATGCTTAACATAACTTAAGGTACACGATGAACCAATGTAATAATATTGGAAGCATGTGACACAGGTGTATCTTTATTATTTACGTAACTAAATTGAACTTGAAGTAGAGACTCCAGCTGGCGTGCTTCAGATGGTGAAATACTGGCTGCCAAACACCTGCAGACAACGACTCAGGTATGACGTCAACATGCTTCCTGATTATTTTTGTTCCTACACTTGTTGAATTTGATCTGGATTGAGCATATCACTTAAATGTTTGTTTCTAAATCAAATTCGCGGAGTTTTGAATTAGTGGTAGTTAACAAAGAAAGTTAAATGATTGGTAAGTAAATCGTTTTTTGTCCAAAAATTTAGAAAATGGGAATTTAGGATATAGAATACAATATTTCTCCATAAACACACACTTTCTATCTATCTGTAAGATTACTATGCTGGATTTAGAAAACCATTCGTGAATATGACTACAGCTTATAGCAATAATAACAAATCGAACTGATTATTTTGGAGGAGGGAGCACTAATTAAAGGAAGTGCTATAAGTATCGAGAAAACACACCTATACGTGTTTCGGGGTACATAAAAATGGATAGTTTTTATAATTAGATATAATTTTTAAGTGTACACTGTAACGAATTTGTTATTATATATTTATTTTAATGTCGACGTTTGTTTAGATTAAATTTATATTTAGAAACATACTAAGCTTATACTAAGATTCTCGAGAGTAGGAATCGACAATATATGTATGTACGTAAACGCTTAAATGTAGCTTTGTATTGCTACGAAATCTGAATTTTCTAAAAAGCCTCCACGCGCCTATAAATATAACCAACGTGACGTGTCAAAAGAGAGTATCTATTATTAGTTTGTTATAGTCAGTGTGCTATAAACTTCGGGAGCTATAACTGTGATTGTTATAACGCTTATCAATCGGAAAACATCAGATATTTGACCAGGAGCATTTACAAAGTTCGAATAATACAAATCATTCAACTTCAATGGATTCACATCGAACATTAGTACTTTTATGAAAACATTACCTAACGTCATCGGCAGGAAACTCGGCGTGTGTGGCTGGTTAATAACGAAGGACAAAGCTAGCTAGCTCCCTGGTAAGTGCATTATACCTACGTCAACTCGTAATTAATCGGCTCATCGTGAAGCCTCGATAAGATATCGAAGAAGTTCCAGACTAGAAAGAAGACTTTATATTGCTTGTTAGTATGTGAAAGTTTTGTTTATAAATCATTGTTTGTAATAACTATTTGTAATAACTGTTATTGTAAATTGTATTGTTGTGTGCATATTAAAACGTATTTGTGTTTATAAAAAGAAAACTGTGTGTATCAATCTTGTTGGCAAACATCATAAACTGACTATATATTGGCTTTTACTTAACTGCTAAATCCAAAGTGCAATTTAACTACTAAATTTAAAGTATCATTTAGC